AACAAGGCTCATGCGGGCCCTTCAGAGCCTAGGCTGGAGGCTTGGAAGGCCCCTCCCACTTCAAAGGCAAAGGAAAACGAGCAGAAGCCTGGAGTATGGTGTGACGTCAAGGTATAGACATGCAGGTCTTGACTTGGTTGATTTCAATGTTAAGAGTTTGGTCAAGTTATGGCAATGTAATGTTTATGTCCCACAGATACCCCAGAAGACTAAATTTGGACATACCGTTATGGCCCCACCGCCTCCAAAACCTGCTTTCCAACCATTTGTAGAGGAATCAGATCAGCCTCCAACAATGTAAGTGACTACTTAAAACCATGATCTACAGTTTTTGATTTTTTGCTTTAAATCCCATCACACACCAGGTTCCTAATAATAAGAAGCCATGTACTAAATAATAAACTGAATCGAATGAATCCATTTTAACATTAAGTAAACATCTCAATTTAGATGGTTTGTTCCTTTTTTCGAAAATGTTTGGTTTTATAAAAAAGACAATCTTAATCACATTATGGGTTTTGGTCATTACACACTTATTATTTGTATTGGCCTTTTAATAGACTATTTGGAATGGAATGATAGCAGATTTGTTTTTACTAATACCAGTAAAATCCCACCATTCTCGATTGAACAGTAAAAACAAATCAACCTTTGGCCAACACTTCTTACTTAAAAGAGCATGTCGCTTCCTATCTGCTAACAGCTAACATTAATAAGCTCTCCTCAATATTTCAATATGCATTTGTTGTTCACAGTGAAGCATTCTTGGGCAGAAAAGTGTAACCTTCTCCAGTTATGTTTGTAAGATTTCTATGATTTAATTTAGCATCTTTGTGCTACCACTTCAGGACTCCTTGTAAGATCGACCCGGCAGTGAACACGGTTTTATCAGCCCGTAAGCCCTGCAGAGAGGAAACTCCTCTGAAGAGACTACAGGATCACCATCAGCAACATAATGAGGCGGTATCAGGAAAACCCCAGGAGCAGAGCATGTACTGTAAAGAGCTGCTGCTCAGCGGCGCTACTGAATTCTGCTTTGAGGAACTGCGTGCAGAGCGCTACTTCAAAAAGATGAGACAGGAGGTCGGAGGTCAAAAGGATGAAGCCAGTGCCAGTGCTTCAAACTGATGCGTCTTCGAAGACTGAGAATTTGATCGCCCTTCTTTTATATTCATTTTTACCTTAATTTAGCCAAAAGGTTATCTAAATATCATGTAGTGACTGCTGTGTATTGTTTGTTATTTTGTTGTAAATATTTCTTTTTTTCTATCCAGCTGCTCAGAAATGGAAGAGCCAAAGGGGCGACGTTTCTTTGAAAGAAATACACAGTATTTCATGTTTTGATTTATAATAATGACAGGGGTATCCTATACAATGTAATTTAATCCAGTACAAAATACCACACTTTGTACTATAGCAAAGAACAAATATTCACAAAAATGTTTTGCAATCAAAATAAGTAACACAGGCTTCAGAGTAGTACATACTGGATTATACTATAGAGTTAATACTAAACACATTTGTTCACCGCAGCCTCTGCCACAGAAATACTTCTCACTTTCTCCCTACTTACACCATGTATCCTATCCTAAGTACATTGTTTAAGAACAGTATTATTTTATATGTGCTACCTTCTTAAGTTACTCTGTCTTTTTCAGTATTTGTTGAGAAAATGTTTCGGTACATTTCCAAAACAGCTGTAACAAGGTTTTAGTGAGGTGATTTTACTGGGTTCAAGGCCTTGTTTGTTATTGGTGTTCAATAAACTAGTGAACTACTTATTTTGTATATTTTTAAGACCTTGGGAGATTTTGTAATGCACTGTCAGCAGGGGTCATGCGAGGGAAAGCATGAATTGTATTCTTGGTAACGGTATTTGAATTATTAAGGTGAGCAAGAAAAGTTAAATGCTGACTGTTTTGCAGTTTCTAGAGTCAACACTGGTGGTTATAATTTATAAATATAGGCAAACAAATGCATTTAAACAGTCATAAATGTCATCTTGACTGCTACTTATTCTAATGAAGTGACTTAATTTAACTTGCTCACTGTAGCCTATCCTTGTGCTTTTTTTTTTTTAGGTGTAAGATATTTATGAGCATATCATGCATTCGGTTGGCCAAATGTTAAAAATTGTCCATGAGAGGTCACCCAGAAGCCCACTGACTACAGTGGTGGGAGTAAACCTAATCTACTGTGATGATGGGATGCACTTCACATACAGGCAGCGCAGACTTTGATGAATGGCTGGAAGATAGGTGGTTTGCTCATTAGCAAGTGAAATCCAGCCTTTGCAGTTGTGGGCAGAGCGGGCCTCGGTTATTCCCGGGAGGTCACTACTGATGTGCTGTGCCACAGAGTGTAGCTGCTTTTACATCCATGTGGAGCACTGTGGAAACACATTTTAATCTCATTCTGGAAATATGACACTGCCAGCCGAGATCCTCTCAACTGGTGAGTTCCCAAACTGTCTACTTCAAATGTTGGCTTAGCACTGAGAGCAGCTGAAATTCAGTGATAAATGATAGGCAACACGATGCAGTCCCATCATAATAACACAGCATAACCACATCATAATGCATCCTCTATGGCTCGCTATTTGGCAGGACTTATTAAAAGCTCATCGCGTGAAAAGCAAGCAGCCAGTGACTCCGATAGCATCTCAGGCAGAAAAAATCCATAGCTCTCCCTTACTGCAGTGGACAGATGGTACGAGCAAGCTACCTTTGCTATAATGCGCTTTGGATAGGCCCTCGGAGAAGAGCTTTTGTCCAGCATTGTTACTTTGATAGACAAGAACACTCAGGCTCCACGGGCCATGTTTTTGCAGTCAGAGCTCTTAACCTATTTTTATGATTTGTCTTTGCATGCACCAGTTCACAGAAAGTTTGCACAAGCCTCTACAGCACCTCACTTTGAAACCAGTAGACATTTTGCATCAAGGCGAACTGCACTTGGCCAACCATGCATGGAGAGGGAAGAGCAGCAAAGTGCAGGATCCCCTTAAAGCCATGCAGAGAAAAAAAAAAAAGATGAAGTTAGTCATGATGAAAATGACTTTAAATGTAGAAGCTCATCATTTTTGACTGACTATCCCATAATGTTGACCTATTATCTCATAATTTTGATTTAGTATGTCATAATCGTGACTTTTGTCTCATAATTGTGACTTAAGTTACAGTACCTTGTATGCCAACGCTTTGTTTTAATTTCTGCTGTAGTTGCCTCACTCTTAGAGAATTAGAGTGGATTTAAAGGTCATCTGGAAAGGTCACTGGATTATGACAAGAAATTACATTTGCTATAGCTATATAGGCTGAACTCTGATAACCCCCGATGTAATCCTTAACAGATTCATCCAAAACAATAGAATGAATTGAAATGCAAACAATTAAGGCAGTATCACTTATACAGCCCCTGGGCTTTCATTTTAATGACACTGTGGTTTAAGACGGCTCTTGTCACTGTAAGCCCTTTTTTACATCACAAGCCGGGTTCTACTATTCATCCAAATGGGGGGGGTAAGTGTTTTCATGAGATGCATCAGAAAGGTTAGGAGTCTGACAGGGAAGCTGACAAATACATTTAAATAAACCCCTTGAATCCAAAGTTAACATTATAATGTCTCTCTATGGACACGTGCTAAAAAAGGTTTGATCAAATAACGCTGTGAGTTAAAACGATATATATAACTCGCATTAACAGCACAAGGGAAACCAAATCATTATAGATAATAATAGAAGGATACAAAAAAACTTAAAATAAACACACCTTTCCTCTTAAATTAACTGTTCTAGAAGCACAGCATTTTTGATGGTTCAACAGAATTTAGGTCAAAAAGAAGAAATAAAAATGCATTTATTTTTAGCATGCTTATAATTGATTGATCTTTTAAACCTTCGAGTTTCCCTTCACATTGGCCATGCAGAGTTTGGGTTCATAAATGTCTCGGCAAACAGCCTAAGCAAACAGGACTGTTTTTGTGATAATCGCCCATTTTTGCCTACAAAGACATACATTACAAGACCATTTTAATGCTGTTCGCAGCTCTGAAAGTCATGGGAGGCAGTACAAATACAGCCAAGCCAATACATATCTGTGACAATAATGCTCACGAGCAAGATTCAAAGAGAGGGAGGGGTTGTGTCTGCTTTACCCCCAACAGGCAAATGTGTCATTGTTATGCAGATTGGTTCAGTGGAGCCTTCTTTCTTTGAGTTTATTTGATGTGGAGGAACATCATCATTACAGCTTGTTATAGTGCCTCTGCAAGCGTCTCATCATATCCAAACGCTGTGTAGAACATGTATGCCCCAATTCTGGCTCAGACTGCCAGGCATTTCTGCACGACTTGACCCTAATACATTTTCCTGCTTTGTGTCTGCTCTCATGCTGCTGTATAAATTATTCAGGAAATGATTGTGGTAAAAAAAAGTGAGGGGAATGCTTCAGTCAAATAATGAGCATGCTACTCTGTGGCAGTGTTGTAACTTCTTCATCCACAAAGATTTTTGGGTCACAATGAAAAAATTGGGAGAACGAGGATTGCACCCTCTACGGAAATAGCCCAACTCTATGCTCCCCCCCCCTTCCTCCTCTCCAATGCTTTACAGCACCCCTCCCGCCATCTGCCACCCCTAACCCTGTCATTTCATGGATAATGCATTTGACTGAACAGCAGCACACTGGGCGAACGCGGCGCCCTCGTGTTCGCATGTTACCCACATTACGTGCAAAGGAGACGGAGGGAGAGAGATGGAAGGCAGGGAGGGAGGGGGGGGGGGGGAGGAAGGGTGAAAGGTATCCCAGGTGATGAGGTGAGTTGAAGCTCTCCTCTCCTTACAGTCACTGGAAACCCGGCACACATGCACACACCGCTATCAATTCTTTTGCAGCCCAATGAGGGAGTGGGAGGAGGCAGGGAAGGAGGGGAAGTGATAAAGAGAGAGAGAGGAAGGTGGGAGGGAGAGCGTGTGTGTGTGTGAGAGAGAGAGAGACAGCGAGTAGGAGAGGGAGAGGGGGGGGTGGAAGTAGCTGTATGGGGCCGTGGTATTCTCTCCTCCTGGATGCTGTCTTTCCTGTTCATGGCTTTGTCCCCCTTTTGTACGGTCAGCCTGTGTGTCCAGGATCAGGCTCCAGCACACGGACCAGCACTCAGCCTCGCAGCCCGGGATGATTCAGTCCCAACAAAGAGCCTTTGAGATATGTGCTTCTGCCTGGAGGGAGGAACGCATCAGGCTTTCCCAGGCAAGCGGCAGCCTGCAGTGTGCGTTGGCTTGAGAGCTCCTTGTCGTCGTATGAGAGAGAAGGAGAGCAGCGTGTATGTCCGTGTGTGAGTGTGTGTGTGTGTGTGTGAATGTGAGTGTACAATAGTGTATGTGCTCAGTCTTGCTTCTAACCCTTCTGGTGGAGAGAGGCTCTCTTCTTCACTGCGCGGCAAGGTAAGGGGGATAGCACCTTTTATATATTTGTTCCCTCTTCTAACAATGATTTATCCCTCCAGAGATTCCTCTTCCACGGTGAGGAGAGTTGGGTAATGAGGGGGAGGTGGGTGGGAGGAAAAAGGGAAAAGAGGCTTAACGTCATTGATAAGGAGCGGGGTAGTCGGTAGGCATCAGCCCTGGTGGAGGAAGAGAAGAAGGAGGTGCAGCCAGGTGCTGGTGTCGGGGTGAAAGGGAGAAAAAAGGGAAGTCAGAGAGGATGTATTCAATGATAGACTGCATCTCGAAAGAGCCTTCACCTTATGCTCACCCCTCCTCCTCAAAATCCCCACATCCCCTCTCTCCCTTCGTGCCTCTGTCGCTTCTCTCCTCAACCTCTATTTTAAAAAAAAGGTTACAACAATCCCGAAAATGGATCTCACTTTACAAAAACAGAAAACAGGAGCTTCTTGTTTTTACCATTGTGTGTGTGTTCAAGTGTGAGTGTGAAGGCTAAGGTGATATTTCAGGTCCTACCAGTGGATGTGGAATTAAGTTTATTTACACACTCAACAGTAAATGCATGCTTTGACATGTGACTGTATTTTGTTAACATAATAGACTTTCATCCATAAATGTAATCATTGGGAAAACCTGTTGTGTTAGAGCTTGCATGAACGTGGGAGGCGATGTTTCAACTGTGATCTGTTTGAATTTAAGACATTAAGGAAGCCGCTTCGTGCTGTTGAAAACAGACTTGCAGAGTCTCACTTTTAGTCTTTTTATTAGATGCAACATTGAACCGCCCAGTGAAAATCAATTTGAGGCTAAGGTGTTTTAAAGAGGTGTATAGATTTGAGTTTTCTTCCAATGCTTCAGCGTCACCATTGCACTCATTCTTATTGACAGAGTTGTGACATTCACACACTTGTTTAAGAGTTGTGACTCAGACAAAGACTTAAAGTAATCAAGACAAAAGAATTACATAAGATCCACGGCTCTAGTCTCTCGGAATTAGTGTTTTTAGTAGTGCAATACTTCAGTCAGATGATGTAACTGACCATGTGTTAGTGTCTCAGGTTACTCATTGATATTCAAGAAGACAGAGGATGAGAAAAAGGGTAGAGGAGGTGACAGAGAAGGTGTCTTTGGTGCATATATTGCACACCCTAACACACACACAGAAACAGACATCTGCTTCACTTTGTAAGATGTTTGTGCTCCGCTCAGGAATTGTTTCAAAGTTTTTGAGTTTTCTCATTTAGACCATTTTGCTCTTGGTGAACCACAAACCCTCAGCATAGACTCTAGTCCATGTAGTGAGAAACTGACAAGACAGGCAGTGATAGGGACTTGATACGTGACAGCATGCAGGTGTAAGTGTTACATTATTGTCAGAAGCCCTACTGTTTTCAGTGCTTGTGTCATGTCTGCCGATGTAGGGTAGGGCGTGCATTAGCAGCTTAGCGTCGTCAACGACTATGAGACGCCAAGTACTAAGGATTAAAACGGCATCTAAATTAGGGCAGCGTGCCATGATTCCCCTCTGTGGGCTGAAACAGCAGCCATGCTGGGTGACATGGGAGGGCAGCAGAGTTGGCGCAGATTGATACTGTAAAGGTAAAGTCTGATGTTAAAAATGGTTAGTGCTTTGTCCCTGGGAGAGACAAGCTGAGGCCCGGGCTAAAAATATATAAATCAAAGCTTTCATAAGGACATGCACGTACAGTAAAGCTTGCACCGAGGCCTGGCGCATCAATAAATTAGACCCAAGAGAGAAGAGTTGGGCTCGTACTATTGGTCCGGGCTGATCGTACGTCTCTATCAGCACAGCGTCAAATTGTTCAAAGCACTTGTGAGAGCCAAGAGGATCTTTAATTAAACAGAGTGTTGGTTAGTGCTGCATTTCTGTACTCTCCTGAATAAATCTTAGCATACATATTGTTTGACAGCATGGAAAAGCATACTTCCCGAGTTAGGAGTGTGTTTCTTAGTGATGTGTCAGCATCAATCCAACATCCCATAAAGGCCCCAGGACACTAGAAGTGCTGCTTTTACAATGTCATTATGTTAAGGTGTTTGGAGATGGCGATTATAGCTTTTACTGTGGCTTTATGTCCCTGCTCTTAGCTGAGGGCCACAACAAACTAGTTTGCTTGTCCATTATCTCATCTGGGAGAATCAGTGCCAATATGTCAGGTGACAGAATGATATACGTATGCCCTCTGTGTTCTGTCCTCAAATCCCCTTCAGTGGCTTGTTTACTGCAGACAAAGCTGCCCAAGATGACAGAGAAAAACAGTTACATCTAAACAATGAAGACTCCTGCTATTTTTAAATCAGACATAGAAACATGTGAAGATTGATTTTAAAGGCTCTGACCTTTAAATCTATGAACACCTATTCAACATCTTCGTTCATTTAATTTGTCCTCTTGCTTTCTTCCCTTCCAGCTCTTTTTTAGTCACAACATGTCCACGCTCTCCTTTCCTCCCACACTCTCTCTCCTCCTGTCATGACCTCTCATTTCTTCTTTCCTCCTGTCAATATTAACACAAGACTGATGCTCACAGCGCAGATCCCTGCCCTTGAAGAACTGACAGCTCACATTGTTGGCCACGGACATTAGATTTCTTCTATACACTCCCAATCCTGAGGCCTTTTCTTACTCATTCAGTGCATAAGAAAGTGACAGACAGGCTATTTGATTGTTTACTTTCTCAGAATTGCAGGGCTCTAGGACTTGAAAAAACATTTTAGACTTGCACTTCTTAATACAGAGGTTTGAGTGAAAGCCTACACATGACGAATCGCTGCGAGTTATGTGACATTTGAAATACTCAAGATATGTCACTATCAATGAACTCTCTGTGCGAATATAGGTCATTGCTGCTTAATACCCAATTTCAAAGAAACGGAAATGTAAATGCAGAATGTCAATATAATTTCAATGAATATTATTGCCTCTGACAATTTTTTATCGTAGCTTGCACTTTAACTTCCTTTGCTTCGCTTTGCATATAAGCTTAAACTAGTCCATATGAAGCAGTGTCCTTCCCCCTGAGCAGAGAATTATCACAGATACACATATTTCAAAGACTGAGAAAGGTGTTGTTTGACTGCTTTAGCAAAAATGGCACACATCCTCACCTGTAGTTGCTATTTTTCTGCTAAACCTTTTGTAGTTCCAAGTAGCTGCTTCAATGTCATGCATATCCCAGACCAATAGACTCAAGTCATGTTATCGTGTGAGGCTTTAACTATGAACAGTGTTGCTTTGAGGTAAATGCTAACGTCAGCATGCTAACATGCTCACAATGAGAGTGCTAGCTACAGTCATGTGCAGTACCTCCATGGTAAGGATGTTTTGTTTTTGGTACAGATTGTTTGTCTGTCAGCACGATCACGGAAAAGTACTGACCCCGATTGTCATTAAACTTGGTGGAAGCATGGGCTTTAGGAGAACCTATTACAGTTTTTGAGCGGTCACAGGGAGGATACAAAAAAAGGTTTTCCCTAGCATTGACATTGTGAGATAGGAAATGGCTTTGTAAGCCCTCTACGCTCTCCAACTGCCACTGTTTTTGCCTATATTTTAGACCAAAGTTTAGGACAAATATAGATTTGGATCCTAGAAAAATGTCTAGGAATTACCCAAACTATTATAGAACTATAGATGCGGGTGTACATTTAGGTGCTTTTGTATACTTTTATTTTGTCATGACTTTAATGTATTTGCAGTCTTTTTGAGGGCCCCATTGAAAACAGAATGGTTTCTACTCTAGCAGTTTATCCTTGAAAACACAAATGTGAACCTTACAGGACGTTTCGGAGCTACTATTGACACAAGGAGTTACCCTCCTGAAACCTCGTGACAATCTATCATGTTGTTGCTGAAACATTTCCGTCTGCACCAAAGTAGAGTTTGACCGACAAACCAACCAACCAACTGACATTACCACCGCTAGCCGATAGCATGGCTACAGAAAAAAGCAAACCGTGCTCACAAGCCACATTTACCCAATGAGCAACTTTGCAGAGGCAGGAGATGTGTGCCATTCTCAAACATTCCTCGTATTCAAAGTACTTTACGATGCCAGATGTTTCAGACCAATGGCATAAAAGATGCATGACAGTAACGTGTTATTCCGTGTCATCGAACGCATCTTATTATATCCATAGTCGTCTCCTATTGACAATCCTTCCATGTCTGCAGAGGTGACTTCAAAGAGAAAACAGAAATCAGCCTAAATCATAAACACTGCTATTGTACCGTCCGGTCACGTCCAGCTCTGTTACCTTGTTTATGCCCTCAGATGGTGCGTGTATGTGTGTGTGTTTTACAAATCTCAAGGAAAAGGAATAGATGACCAACCAAGCCCCTTCCTCCCTCTTGAGAGCCAGTCTCATTACACTCAAAGGGCAGAACGGTCATCATAATGAAGCTGATAGAAGGGCAATCTCTAAGCCCTCCACGCTGCACTGCAGAGTCCAAAAACAGCAGCTGATTGCTATCTAAGCCTCTATAAAAGAGATGAAGCCCCCTGTAATTCAGCATAGCGTCTTATGCTTATATGTGCACAACGACAGACCCAAAAAGGGGATTACCTTATCTCCATCGTCTCCCACCCTCACCTCACTATTTGACATGAATCCTGTACAAAATAAACATGTGTCTGGAGCCAGAGAGGAGAGAGGGTTGCATGATGTGTCCTAAAATTAGATCAGTGGAGGACTGAACACCATACTAATCCTCCTGCGAGCACAGTCACCTGCACGCTTGCTACATTTCTGCATGCATGCCAACAGAAAGGTTGAAGCAGAAATCAGGGCAAATAGGAAAAAAATAATCATTCAACAGAGCTTGGAGCACTAACATCGAGCAAATCCAATATCTCTCTTATCTCTCGATCCCCTCCCACTCATCCGCAACGCAACCTGCTCGGGGAATGTGAACATGCCCTCTCCTGTGCTGACATGTTGTGTGTGGGAAACGTATGGATTGCCTGCTTGCATTTCTG